GACATAAATAAATAAATAAATAAATAAATAAATCGATTGATATTAAGAAAGCTTGCGGTAAATTGATTCCGGAAGCGCGAAGTGAGCGGTGCGGGAGAAACATACGTCCGGCAAACAGCAGGTGTGAATGAACCTGCCTCGGAGAGCCCAGTGACAAGGGTGGCTGAAAGCGAAGAGGAGATGGGGTGACTGTCGTCAACCTCAATCCACTAGAACAAATAACAATAACCTAAAATATGTTTGAACTTGAATACATTTTTCATAGTTTTTAATGAAGTGCATGCAACCAAATTTGAGAGCGTCACGAAAAAGCAATCTTCAAGGTACAGCATAGCACTGATGTGCAAGCAGGCTTTTGCACTAACCTGAGCATTCACTCTATATTCACGCATGCACTCCGGCAAATGAACTTGCACCCCAGCATGAGTGCAATGTTTACGTTCGAACATCGCTTGCTTCAGCGCTTGAAAACATTGTTCGTACTCAAACGCTCGTGTGACTGGCAAACACGATACATTTTCAGCGTGATGGAAAACTTATTTTTATCCGAACATTTATTATTGGAAGGAAGCTATTACTGGTAAGTACACTGGAAGCGGCTGCTATTGTGAAGCTATCATTCATGTGCTATCAGCTATCAGCTGCCATAAGTAAATTCCAACAAATCCCATAAATAATTCTCCTACTAGAATTTGGTAAATTGGTTCATTAAATAATTCAATATATAATTTTCTACTAAACCTCAACAAAAGAAGGGGACGAACTTTGACGTTAAGTATAGAGAACGTTTCAAATATGTCGAGCACAATATATTCAAATTGTTAACCCCCCTCTTATGTCACGCATCTTTCCAAACTTATCATGTAAGGCCCCTCCCCACTTTTTGTTCCCTCTGTATATCTTTTTACTCCATTAATATTGAGAAATGATGAAGCATACCGGTTTCGATATGGTCATTCTTGTTTTCTTTTTTTCATTTGTTCATCGATTTCAAATCCGCATACGATACAATCGATTGAAATCAGCTATGGCAGATTATGCACGAGTGCGGATTTCTGGATAAACTGACGTGATTGGATTAGACTTGCCATCAACGCATCAAAGACAAAATACATGAAAGGAAGAGGTTCTAGGGAAGACAATCCCACCTCCCACCCCGAGTTCAGATTGACGGTGACGAAATCGAGGTGGTCGATGAGTTAGTGTATTTGGGCTCACTGGTCACTCACCGCCGCATGAAGTTGACTGTCTACAAGACGCTGATTAGACCGGTGGTCCTTTACGGCCACGAGACCTGGACTATGTTCGTGCAGGAAAAACGCGCCCTTGGAGTTTTCGAACGGAAGGTGTTGCGTACCATCTACGGTTGAGTGCAGATGGATGACGGAACGTGGAGGAGGCGAATGAACCACGAATTGCACCAGCTTCTGGGAGAACCATCCATCGTCCACATTGCAAAAAATGGACAACTAGGGTGGGCTGGGCACATCGTAAGAATGTCGCACGACGACCCAGTGAAAATGGTTCTAGAAAGCGACCCAACAGGAACAAGAAGAAAAGGCGCGCAGCGGGCAAGGTGGTTCGACCAAGTAGAAGGTGACCTGCGGACCCTTCGTAGACTACGAGGCTGGCGAACTGTGGCCATGGATCGAGTAGAGTGGAGACGAACAATGTGTCGTTTGTTCGATTTCTGCTCTGTCGTTGCGTCCGTGTTTGGGATTTTTCGTTACATGTCTAAATTTTGATTTTTTTTAATGTGTCCCCCAGTATAGAAATTAAAGACGTAGTCCTACGTCAAAACATTAATCAAAACTGTACACGGTTTTGCTCTTTACACAGATTGATCATCGGTTAGAATAAGGTAAACATGTGACTATTAGATACTTTGACTGGTAAATTATAGAAAAGAAAAACAAGGGAAGCCATGAAAAATGTGGAGGTGGATAGAAGTTTCTCCGGGAAGAGTAGCCATTTTACAAGGATCTACTAACCAAATTGAAACGAGATAACATCCAATCTGAACTTTAAAAAAGCTTTAAATATTTAGTCTTTCATATTGACGAGGCTTGGTTGCTCAGTGGTTACCGTTTCTGCTTACTTCCTTGCAATTTTTCACTTTTCCTTATTTTATCCTTACTAGATTCAACTGAAAACGAATGCTGCTTTAGCCAACCGATTGCATCACTTACCACAGTGATATATATACAGTACTTTCTCGATTTTGTCAGCCCCATCTTAAATTTTAGGCTGACAAAAACGGGAAACTGACCAAATCGGGATCAAAACTATCACATAAATGAAATCCTTATAGGGTACGGGGTGCTATGGGATAATATGATCAACAGCGCTTATTTACGTGTTTTGCAAAACAAATTTAATGGAGTTTCACCCATAATCACTAGCAGAGCTGCAGAACAATCATCTGGGAAATTGTTTATATCAATTAATCTTTTAATAGTACGAAGAAAAAAAACGCTTTTGTTCATATAACACCAGGGTGCGTTTTGCCCCACCTTGTTCTACATATATGGCTATTTTTTGTAAAAACTCTTCTAAACCATCAAATAATAAGAATTATTGAATCAATTTTCCTATGACGATAATGAAATATGTATCAGCTTTCAAAGCAGAGAAAATGGGGGGGGGGGTAATCAAAAAGCCATACCTGTATGGAAGTTGGCACGGGATGGTATCCACTAGTTGCCTAGTGCAGCTCCCCAAAAGCCCATTCCTTACTCTCTCCTCTGCCTGGATCCCCCCGGGACCACGCTGAAGCGACTACTTCGAGCGGGCTGGCACTTTGCATGCTCTCAGTGCTAGCTGACGTTGCTAGATCGCTGCTCCTCTCTCCATTCCAAGTGCCTTCCTCTGGACACATTTCATCGACGACATTCTCCACTTTAAGGACAGGCATCTCCCTTCGCACTGTCTCGCACCTTGGACAGTCGAAGACCATATGCTTCGGCGTTTCATCCACGTTGCCACACTCCGGACAGAGGGGTGACGCTGCGTGTCCGAACCGATGCAGGTATTTTCTACGTGTTTTCTGTTCACCTAGGTCGAAAGAACCGGTAATAATCTACCGTTATCCATCGTGTTCCACTTCTGTTGCCACTTTGCCAAAAACTCCGCTTTCACCACTTTACGTACTCTACCGGCTTCTCTCCGACTGTAGCACTCACTGTCCTCCGCCGGGTGATGCCGATAGGGATCATTCCGGCGATAGCGCATACTGCTTCCGATGAGATGGTTCTGTATGCACTCACGACTTGCATGGCCATGAGCCGGAACGTACTGCTCAGTTTCCTTTGGTTCTGCTTCGTTTCCAGTGCTGCAAACCAGGCTGGACCTCCATATCTCAGTATCTACCCTGAAGACGCCTCTTAATATTGCTGGGAATAGAGTTGTTCAGCATGATTCTGGCTATTGTGTAAATGGCCTTCGAAGCATTTTCACAGATATATTCGACGTGGTTGTTGAATTTTAGCCGGTCATCGATCATCACTCCCAGGTATTTCAACACGCGCTTCGAGGCAAAGGCGTGCGTTTCACCAAGGATGGAGCCTTGTGCCTCATTCTATGCATCGCTTAGGCAATGGCTTTCCAGGTTATCACGGGGCCATATCGATCTCCTCTTCACTTCTGCTTGGACGCCTTTTCGGCTCTCTCGACCGTTGTCCGAATTGCATCCACCGTTGATCTCCCTTTTCGGAATCCAAACTGCCTCTCCGACAATCAAAACAAAAGCTGATGGGGCTGATTGGACTTAAGCTTCGCCTCTTTCAATTTGACGATGTTATTAATCTCCGCTGACAATGAAGCAATGTTTTTATTACAATTGCACAAAAAAAGAAACAGGTTTTCCGTGGTAAAAATGATTTTTCCAGCAAACATCAATTCAAAACTAACAATTCCTAGCAGGAGAATATTAAATTAATGTAAGTGAATTAAAATGTCAAAGATACATTGGATGAAAGACCTGTGCGTTGAATTGATTAATATTTGAATGAAAGAGCACTTAAAATCGTCAATTGTTTTACCATTTTACCCCCGCTTCCCCAAACATTCACATTTCAGCGAAGTGTAAGAATAAAAATTATTCACAGCGTGAATTTTGAGAATTCATGTTTAAAAACTCAATATTTTGATGAAATCTGCAGGCTGACAAAATCGGGAAAAAAGCTGTCAAAATAGGAGTACACAAAATGGGGAGCTGACAAAATCGGGAAAGCACTGTATATATATTGAGTCTTTTCATATTGAAGGCAAAGTGCTTCCTGCTACAAACATCATAAATAAAAAGTCCTGTCTGTGTGCGATACTTTTAATTATAAATCTTAATAATCAAGGAAAAATAGGAAAGAGATAAATATAAATTCATAAGACACTGCTCACGATAAAAGTAATGGCTACAAGTTCATTTTTAGACAATCCATTTATGGAGTAAAAAATACTCATGATAAAAAGCCCGCTATAAACGGGATCCCGGGAATTCAGGTTTTGTTTCCCGGGATTCGGAAATTTTCATCCCGGTTCATCCCGGGTGGGAAGCTTTAGTTGCAGCTGAATTTATTTCAAGCAACTTTACTGAAGAATAAAGAAAAAATATCTTTTGAAGCTCGCATTTTAGAGATTTGAATTCAATGATACAAAAAACTGCTTTGAACAACTAGAGTATTCATAACGAATGTCAATAAACTGGCTTGAAATTAGAAACAGAAACTCTCTTTGTGTTTTAACATTCTAATGAATGAAATTTAAGTTGGGTGGGTGAGCCAGTAGTGGAGGAACTAAGCAGATTTATTTATAAAAAAAAATAACTAAACGATGCACATACAATTTGTAGACCTAAATCTGTAGCTTTCAATCTCTATTTTACAAGCAAAATATTACATTTTTTGCTCTCCCCTTTATTTCGAAACCTGGCTACGCCCTTGCTACTTGGCAATGAACACCCCGCGGATGTAAACAGATACAGACAATAAAATCGAATATATTACCTTGATTAAATGCCAATGCCGGTACGAATATGACAATTGGTAGGTGTAATAGCTATGAAATGAAATGGAAATAATATTAACGTCTCAGCAAAATAAAAACTAATGGTTCACTTACTGTCGCTATTGTAAACAAAATTGAACCTAGCAGACGTATTCTTCTATCAAACCTCATTTGAAGGTATTCGTACACCGATGTTATCTGTAGTCCTTGAAATACGGGTAGGAATATGAAGTACATAGCAACGCACATTGCTAAAATCCCCGAAAATATGTACGCAAACTGCATGCCATACAAATATGTCTCAGTTGACGCTCCCATCAGTGCAATACCGGATATGAAACTAAAAACAACCAACGTTAAAAACCAATTTCGCCTGAAACACACAAACACATTAATTTGGCTTGTTTACCTTGCCACTAACGACATTGCCACAGGGAAGATTTTCATTTTTCGACCACCAACCAGATAATCGAGTGCCTCGGATCCTCGTCGATGGTTCTTTCTTCGAGCATGCTTTGCATGATCTTTCCAACCAAAGAAAATGCCTATGACTATACAGACAAGCAGCATACCGGAAAATACCAGATAATCCACCAGTCCGAATCGCTGCAACGACCGGCTAACATCTTGTACGCTCAATACTGCTCCCACTATGCTTGCATTCATGTTGAACTAATCCTACCACGATACTAGTAAATTCCTAAACTTCACTTCAACACTACCTACAACCTGAATCTATGACAACTTCAGCGCAAATGGTACATTAACACTCGTCTCGTGAATATTTCCGCAAACTTTCATAATTTATGGAAGGATTAAAGCATCATGTGCTTGCCTACTCAAATACTGAGATAAAGGAGTGTTTTACTGTTGTCTGCTCGTGAATCGTCGTCATTTTGGTTCATATTTTCCCATTATTTATAGCTCAAATGACAAAGAGCTCAAGAGCCAAACGGAAGGAATACGATCAAACTAGATCAACGTAGAAAAATGCTGGAGCTCTACGGAGTATACTACTGTTTAAGTTGCTTGACAAACAACTTCTGAGGCAGTTTATTTTGTCCATGCAGCGGTCATTTCAGTAATTCGTTTTTCTCTCCCGCTAACAGATTCATTATCGCTGTGTTTTTTTTTTTTCAATTGTAGCATCTTATTCTAACTACCTAATGGAGGTGATATGCGTGCATGTAAACTTCCTGTGAATGATATATCTTGATATCCTGACCATTTAAGAAGTTGTTCTCTTGCGCGAATTTTTGCAGATAACCAAGGCCTTTTGGTTGATATACATACACCCAACCGAGGGGTGTAAGATTCGCTTACAATTATGTGGGATTCATCATCGGAGGATGTTAGTGAAGACCGCATGAACCGAGGATGCGATATAGGGGAAATGACCGGTTCGGCATGACAGACTATTTTCGGCAACCCAAATTGAAACACTATTTTCACTGGATTTTCTTACGAAAACACTTCGCTGAATGCATGCAAACGATTCTTTATGCTTTCAGCTTCAATTTGACTATATTTTTACCACTGAGAAAAAGCAATCTAGCAGGGTTTTCTTGAAATGAAACACACGCACTACAAATTGTAGCTGATTTCGAGTTGCCGATAATAGAACAGCAGATTTACATGCAGTTCAAATGGAACGGTTGCCGAAGAAAAACTGGTTGCCGACAATACTCGCTCTCACTAGAGAAGATTGGAGCTTTGTAAAAGCGTTTCAAAACAGTTTTTGACAATTCTTTCGACTGAAATTGTTAGAGCAGCTGGCAGCAAAAGATTGTAAACGAACCAATACTGCATATGTGTGCGTTCCTTAGAGAAAAAGGCTATAGAAAGAAGGTCGCTGCTTAGGTTGCCGAGAATACGTAAATTCCCCTACCTAGCTGCGAGAAAATTAGAGACCGAAAAATGTAGAGTGTGTTAGTGAGGTAAATTAAATTAAATTAGTTATGTCGAAAAAAAATATGAAACCGATTGCCGACTGGACTCGAACCAAAAACGCTGCGGTTATCAGACCTGTGCTTTCTCCACTGCTCTCTCCATGCTCCTGAATATGGATAGCCTAAAAGCAAACATGAAGCGCTCATTTTCTCGCATACTCGACTTCGTATGCTTTTTCTGCTGGAGAGATTTTAAGGCAAGTGTGTGTGTCGTTCTACAATGTTCTACAGTGTGCGTCGTTCTACAAGCTTACTGGTAAAGTCGAAAACGTAGATAAAACACGAAATGAAAAAGACAAAAAACCATTACATCGCCTGTAAGGTCAACTTCTAACATTCGCTGCGATGTTCATGAACAGAGGATGATAGGAAACGGAACTAACATTCATTGTAATAGATTTTTGGTTTGCGTGTAGAGCTTCCATTTCCCGGCCTGTTATTGACACCCGGGAAACAGCAGGTGGCTCTTCCTGGAAATTCCCGGGAATGGGTAATAATCGTATCCGGTAACCAAATAGGTTAATCATAATGTTCATCTTTAAATTTCTGTTGAACGATATATGAAGAGTTCTAGCATTTCCTGAAATTGTCCTCCTACGTCCTAAGTATTTTTTTTCCCTTCCTAAGAAGATTCTTGTTGTATTGTCAGGAAGTTACTTGTTTTTTACAGGAATCATGTTTCTACTTCATCCGGATCTATTTTTAATGCTAATGATTTCCCCCACTAATTTCTACACATATACACATGATGTGAAACCCAACAAAATCATCACTGAGGAACGATATCGAACTCAACTGATACCATTGAGCTAAGCATTGCGCGAAAAGCGGCCACAATACGAGCAGAGGCATGAAAAATTGATTCTAGAGCACAACAACGCTCGACCTCACGTTGTCAAACCGTTAAAACCTACTTGGAAACGCTCAAATGGGTAGTCCTACCCCACCCGCTATATTCCCCAGATACCCAAGTAACACAGTTTGTCATAAACGGGGTTACATAGCTTATTTATTATAATCTCAGCTGTAAAAATATACGTCTAGTCACATATATACAACTTATTTATAACGAAAAAAGCGTAAGAGGTGGAATCCATAACATATTTCAAGTTTTATATTATTGACTTTTGCAACTTATATATAACTATAATGAAGCTATAATGAACATGTTGAAAATTAATTTCGTCCTCTTCCAACGAATGAAATTCGTTTATTTTCCTACCATCAATTTCACAATTCTTCTAGGGAATTTTATTGTGCATCTTTAAAATCTACTTCTGAAAATTTATTGACTTTTAGAAAAATCTAGATAAAATAAATTAAATTGTGCAAAAAAATCTGGATAAAATGCCCAAATTTGAAAATAGAATTTTTTATCAATAGAAATAGAATATCAGCAATCTTTTGTTTAAATATATATATGTTTTTGTTTGTTTTTTGCTCTTTATTTGTTTCAAATTCAAAATAAATTACATTCTATTTTAACCTAGGTGCTCCAGTAACAGTAACAGTAACTTATCAGCCTTAATTGTTATGATATATTTAATTACTCCTGCCTTGGCAATTCAGTATTTTAAACAGGTTTTTTTTTTTAATCTACATGTCAGTATAACAATTGTCATCTTAGAACTAAAAACTAATACTAAATCTTACCTAAGTATAAAGGGAATTAATCATTGCAATTGAGGATTGCAACGATTTTTGCCTGAAATTATTAATTATTTTGTTGGTCATTTGTTCTAAAGTTTCAACATTCGAAATTCTATGTACCTCGGTAGTACCAACAATCAATACGAAACTAACGATTTTCAATTGGCTAACTACTTGACTAGCCTTTTGGTCCCTAGCAAACGATTAACGTATCCCATTCTAGTCAAAATTCTAGTACTACACTATGTTTGTTTTGATTCGCTATGAAAGTTTGACAGATAAATGAGGGGTTCGTGGATTTTTCTATGTTTCGAGGGGTGCATCGATTAGCTTGGGACCGAAGATAGTACCAGAACTGAGCCAAAAAGTTGAGCACGTTTCTTCGGGACCTACTAGTCTTAGAGTTACCTCTTCGGTAGTACTGTACCAGGGAGGCAACTTCAAAATTATCTTCAGAACTTTGTTCTGAATCCTTTGAAGTGCTTTTTTCCTGGTAGTGCAACAACTAGACCATATTGGCACAGCATAAAGCATGGCCGGTATAAAAACTTGTTTAAATATTAGAAGTTTATTCGTCAGACAAAGTTTGGATTTCCTGTTTATAAGAGGATACAAACATTTTAAATATTTGTTACATTTGACTTGAATGCCCTCAATGTGATCTTTAAAAGTTAATTTTTGGTCTGGTCCTAATCCAAGATATTTCACATGGTTTGACTAGGAAATTGGAACTCCGTTTATAATGACTATGTGACTACTACTAGGTTTCAAAAAGGAAGCTCTAGGCTTATGTAAAAATATTATAAGTTGAGTTTTGGAAGCGTTGGGAGAAATCTTTCATTTTTGTAAATAAGATTAGAAAATATCTACACTTTTCTGCAGTCTGTCTTCCTTTACTGGAAATGCCTGTGTCATCAGCGAACAAGGATTTGTGGCAACCCTGAGGCAAACCAGGGAGGCCTGATTTTGAACTAATTTCATAATATAGAGTGTAAAATTAAACTTTTTTCAATTTGGCAATCAAACCTTCATGCCAAACACTGTCGAATGCTTTTTCTACACACATAGAAATACCTAATCTTACACGTGACGGAATCCATCTTTGACACAAAGGATGAGACGTAAACAAACATGTCATGTAAAATTAAGTGCTCCGCGACTGAAAAGTTCAAAAGTACGTTTGAGTGAGCTGAATTTCGCGTCTATTATGACTCAATTTTATGTCAAAATTGACGCTCGTATATGTCAGTCTCAGAGCACCTAAATTTACATCAATTTTTATAAGTGTGTTTGTCTAGAAGAGCAACTCCAGTTGAATAGACTTTAGATTTCTTTGAACGAATTAAATTGGTAACTCTTAAGAGTTGATGAGTAGTTGAATGCCTATGACAAAATCCAAACTGCTCATCTGTAAAAAATGAGTTCGTATTGATGTGAAGCATAATTCTATTTAAAATTATCTTTTCAAAAAGTTTACTTATTGAAGAAAGCAAACGTAGTAGCTAAAAGTTCAGCTGGATTTTTAACCGGCTTCAAAGTTGGAACAACTTTTGCATTTTTCCATTTATCAGGAAAGAATGCCAAATGGAAACATCTGTTAAATAATTTTACCAAGAAAGACAAGGTACTCTCTGGTAGTTTTTTTTTTATGAGGATATAGAAGATTCCATCATTACTTGAATCTTTCATATTATGAAACGTTTAAGTTATAGATCTTATTTCGTCCAAATCAGTCCCCACGGTATCATCAAAAATATTTCCCTGTAGAAAATATTCAGATAATTCCGAGCAACCCGATTCTCAATAGGACTAGTAAGACCCAAACTTAAATTATGGGAACTCTCTAATTGCTTAGCAAGTTGCTGAGCTTTTATCAAATTTGTGATCAAAATTTTACCACCTTATTTAAGCGCTGAAATAGGCTTTTGAGGTTTTTTCAAAATTTTGTGAGTTTCCGAAAGGGTTTGGAACTCGGGTCTAACTAAGAAACATTATTTTCAAAAGTTTCGTTCTTCAGGGCAGATAATCGCTTTTTAATTTGGTTTTGCAAATCCCGCCAGATAACTTTCATGGCAGGATCGCGTGTTCTTTGATATTGTCT